GTGCCAAGTGCTGCTTGCAGGGAACGAGCGTGCTCCTCCAGGCACCTACCCTGCTAGAGCTTGCAACACACCTAAGTGACGTTATTTTTTCCTTCCATCCCTTACTCAGAAAAAAATGACCAAGTAGTTCTCACTTGAAAGTTGCAGCAAATCGGAAAAATTTCTTCAAGTATATGCATGGCCCACAACAGTTTAGTTTCATTTACCATAAAATTAGAAAGTATAATTTTAAAATAATAAAGCTCACAGGGTTTAATAGGCAAAACAAGAGTTTTACTTAAAACATACATCAAGAACGCAAGAGGGCTTTGTTTTTTACCTCGGAGCATCACTTCCAGTGGCCCAAACCGCCTGTAAATGCAGGGATGTAGCTGGCCAGCCACGTGCCGATGGCTGCAGCGAGCCCCGCTGTGGTGGAAGCCAGGCTTCAAAACACCCCCCAGGGCAGCAGCCCGGCTTCGTTTGCAAAGTGCCTTTTCCTCAGGAGGTGGGGAGGTGGCAAGTATATGTGCTGCAGCTCGCTGCTACCCCATGCTCCTGCCAAGTGCAGGCAGGGTTTTGCATTACAGGAAGGTTCATGGAAATGTCACTTTTTTTCAACAGAATCCAGTCAACTATGTCACTAAGCACAGCACAAAACTAATTACTGATTTCTAACCGATGGGTACTTCTTATTTCAGATTACACCAGAATCCCCTCCGCAGGGCCTTCCGCCACTTGCTCTCAGTTTAACTCCTTCGGTTCCCTACCTTTCAGAAGCCCCTGTAAGCTGGTGGCACCAATGTGAGACAGCCCGTGCCAAGTTGCTTTAGGAACACTCCGTTCCTGAAGGCCTAAAGACACTCGATTTCGTCACAAATAGCAGTTACGGTTGTCCCTGCACACTTCCAGAATACATTCTCCTGGGATTTGGTTTCCAAAAAGCCTCAGTTTGCAGTGGTCCTCTGCTCACTCCTTACCGGCTCAGGGAAGGGTCAGATAAATCCCTTGGGAACAGAGATTTCTCGAGGAATACTTTTAAGCTCCATTTCTGGAGGAGAGGTCTGATATGAAACAATGTCCCGGCCCTTACCCCTTCTGGGTTTGTAACACATGTCCAACTCTTTCTTGAAAATCCTGAGGAGGTAGTACGGGTGGTGAGAGAAACCCTCTGCATGTTACAATAGTTTGGGCCAATTTTTCTGTGCAGCTGAAGCCTCAGCCTTATTTTATTTACTTTTGTGGTCACAGCAAGTACTAATGGGAGGGAAGAATAAGAAGCAAAGGGCTTTTATGAAACTACTGCTACTCAGAAGGCAACTTCTCCCCTCTTCCACACTAACCTACTTACAGATGGTTTCTTACACTGCAGTTCTGACACTAGAACTTATTCAAGCCAGCACATGAGTGAAACAGCATCTTCATCACAGATTTTCCTTTGCAAACCTAAGGACTTGCCTACACCAAGAAAAAGAACCACCCTTTTAGCATTTAAGGGGAGGGGAATTAACTTACCATAGAAATTAACTCCTTAGAAAATTTCTTCTTTCGCTTAACTGAACCTCAGGACTGGCTGGGGGAAAGGTGATACTTAAGCACATGTTCTTACCTTGATGAGTTTCTCTGTGGGAGTTTCATAGCCTATTCCTTCAGAAAAGCTAGGTGGAACGTTCCATTTAGATAGTATGATTTCTTTTTCTCAGAAGTCAGCCAAAAAAAATCCCATATGATCTTGTCCGGGCAGAATAGGACAGTGTAGGCCTCTAGCTTGGTGTGGGGTTTTTTTCAGACCACTTACACAACAGAATTGTTTATTCTACTTATTACATATGTCCCTAGGAAACCTCTCCTTTTCACTTGGACTGATCTGTGGAAAATACTTAGGCAAGTGCTTCTCCATTCTCACTGTTGAATTTTGTTTTTTTCTTCAAGACCAAAGATTCTCTGCCTCAAGACAGTAAACATGCCTGTACTTTCTTAGTAGTACTTTTGATTTTGCTATTGTATCCAAATCACTAGGCAGATATTTACATTATCATCTAAAATCCAGAAGCAGGCAGAATCACAATTTATTCTACATCAAGTTCCCTGCTATCTATGTTGTCAACCCATAAATGTGGCCTGAATTTTAAACTGACACAGAGAAGTGTCCCATGACTGGAAGTCATGAGATGATACTAAGAACAAGATAATTAACTCCTACATGAGAATTAATCTGCATACCCACTCAAGTAGGTAACTGAACATGATATATGGAAAATGTAGTAATTCAGCCTGCTTCTTCAGAGATCTGAGAAAACATTTAGATATAACTTCTCTAAACATTTGAGACAGCATTGACTGAGTAGTCATACTTGACACGTTTCAAGAAAACAACATCCTTGAAGAGAAGCAAATTATCTGTGGTGCAGGAAAGACTACCAGGCTATCATGAAAATTGCAATTATAGGTTACTTACTTATAGCAAAAAGACCCTCTAGATTTTGAAGAAGCACTTAAATACATTAGTGAAAAACATTTAATACCAAGAATACATACACATGTGCAACTTCAACAAAAAGGACTGAATAATTTGGATAGTGTTTCGTTTCAGTATCATGAACCTTGAAGTGAAAAGTAATTGTTCATGGCTTCCAGATTAAGTCTAAAAATGACATTTCCCTTCTTTTTTCTTGAAACAGTTTTGTTTGGAAGTATGTACTGGAACAACAGTGTACACAAGAGACAAACATATGTATATATACACAATTCTTTTTTATTAACAAGGTATGTTATTACTGAACAAGGCAACTAGGAAATACAAGGACTGGACATATACATGAAAATTTTACAACTTGACAAAAAAATTGGCATATGGCTTATATACAGATGTGATTAATAAAGGTAACAGTTCTAATATATTTGATTAAACACAGTCCTAAGCACTTACATTATGAAAATAAGAAGTTGATCATACAGAGGTCAAGTTCTCGAGTCAAAAAATAATAAGAATTTAAAACTTCAAAACTTTCTATGTCCATCCATTTTACAGAACATCACTACAGCTTTTCCTACTACCATATACATGAAAGATTATCAAAAATATATTGATGGGTCTGTCGCTAATCATGAATGTTTATATTTACATTAAGTTAGCAAATTCTTCACCAAATACTTTATATACAAAACTCAATTTGCCCTTTGTGAAAGAGTCATTAAAAAGTTAAAAACCATAGAAATGCCAGTTAGAAATAATGCATTCCAAAAATTGAACTCGTTTACAACAACTGAGAACAATTGAAAATAATTTAGGAAAAAGTACATAGTTTTAGTACATGTACTCTCACAACACTTTAGTTCCAATATAGAGTAGCAAGAATATTCTCCTGTGTGTTCTTTGAGTGGTATCTTCTGTTCCAATAATGCTGCAAGAAAAAAAAAAATTATCCTTAAGCACTTGTGAGTCTTTGAAGGCAGCAGAAATAATTTAAGGGACCAATATTCCTTCCCCTTTTCTCAGTGGCAGAATCCCTGTCCCCATTTACATTGGCCCAGATAGAATTCTTACTTCTTTACTCCTTAAAGGCTAAAACGGGAAGGAGGAGGGAAGAAAAAAAGGGAAAAAAAAAAAAAAAAAAAACCAGAAGAGACAAACCAAGCATCCTCTGTACTTTAGTGCTGCTCAGAAGACACAGATCTTTTTGCCAGCAGTGTTTTTGAGTAGGTTCTGGGCTTATTTTTGTATTTGACTATAATGTTTTTGTAGCATGCTTTGAAGACACCTAACAAAATCAGTCTTCTCTGCTGAATTTCACCCCTCCAACCTGTCTCTTAATTGAAAAAGAGCTTAGACAGGAACCAGACGTTCGCTCTGCAGGCACTTCTTCTACACAGACACGAGCACCTAAGGAATTCTGCAATACAAAACATGGATGCTGAATGAATCTACACATGCTAAGGATTAGACAGCTACTGAAACACAGACTCTCTTGGAATTATGTTCCACTCAGGCCCATCCGAGTATCAGAAATGAGTTTGACAACACAGAAGCACAGTTTACAGTGCTTCCAATACGTGAGAAAATAGCAGATGGATCAATTGCCAAGGTTTCAGCTCACTTCAAGTGACAGGCATTATGGAAACAAAGCTGCTATTCTTCACTGAATCAAACCAGTGAACGACACAATTGTTCATAATGCACTGCAATAACTTTGTCAAAGTGCTGACACCATCTAACAAGCAAAATTAGATCTTGTTGTCAAATCCAAATGAAGTGGACTGAATTTCCCTTTTTATCTCTAGTAACGCTGAATGCATCTTCTATACTTGCTGTGTGGAATTCTTACCCTCCAACACCACCAGTGTCTTTCCACCTGCTATCTCACTTGTGTGCTACTCTTACTAATGCTTCAGACTCCACAGTGACCAACTCTTAACTTTTTTTTTGTTAAATGGATGAAATGACATCTCAATCACACCCCTAATCTATGCACCCCACTCTTAGTCTTGAACTCTTTTTCCCTCTTGTTTTATACAGCTCTCCATTCTTCAACTTTCCTCTTGAGTAATTACTCTAACTTGTCTTTCAGATAACCTTATTTCTCTCAAATCAGGCTCACTGAGGAAGGGGTCTAACATCTTTGGCCTCCTCTTTTCTCTACCCTGTTCCTAAGTAACTTTATCCAAAACATAAACCGCAGTTATCTTCTCTTCATTGATGATTTCACACATATCAAACTTTCTCAAATTTACTGCTTCTCTCCACACATTTTCACACCTGTTTGTGTATGTTTATCTAGCAATGCCCCCTCCCTCCTCCAAATTCATGTATTTTTCACCCAAGCTTTTCTTGACAAACTTTGGCAATCTGAGCATCCCATTTCAGTTACAGACTAATGACAAACTCTTGTCTTCAAATCTTTCTTGTCCCTACATCTTTACATACAGTAATTACACCATCTTTTTCTGTAGACTCTCTCTAAAACATGTTCTGCTTAGTCCACTTCTATGTCTGAAACTCTAACCCAGGCCCTGAACCTTTCCTTTTAAGTTGTGTTAGTCTTCTGATTCAGGTCACCATGAATTCACACAAACAGTGATGCTGGCACAAGTTAAGGTGAGATGTTGGAGCAGAGAGTAACAGAAGCTACGCAAGCAGCTCTGCTAACATATGCAAGACCACAGTTTATCCATCCTCCTTTTCCTTAAGGCCTCAATCTATGTCTGATAATCTTGGGTCTGGTTCTGATTTTATAACTACTTTCCATCTCATACTTCATAAACTCTCTAGAGCCAGGATTTTGTATTGCTTGTTTGTACAGTACCTGGAACAGAAATATTTACAGCAGTAAATTAGGATCCTTTGCATTGCAGTGATATGAATGTTATCATAGACAAAATCTGCACAGAAATTTACTCATTAACAAGATAACTTTAAGGTGTCTCAGATCTTACCAGTTTAATTTGTGCTCTGTCGCTGGACTTTTGGTCCAACGCTCTGAGTTTCTTCTTCTGGATTTGGGCGTTTCCCTGCACTAATGCCAGTACCAAGGGCCGTTCTTCCTGATAATTTAAAACCAGTATTTACATTAAGACTCTACCATACCTTCATATATTCAGGAAAAGCATTTTGTTTTTTTTGTTGTTCTTTAAATTACCTGCTTGCAATAAGTGTGATTGCTGATTGTCTCCATGAGCATAGTGTAAGATACTACTTGCTTGACAGTAACCTGTTCAGATACAGTAGATATTTATTATAATAAATAACATTTAGATCTGCAAGCACGTGTACAATTACATTCTTTACAACAAGAAGGAGCCAATTGCTTTATTTACCTTCATCAAGAGAAATCCTGTCAGAAACAATTACGAATGCAAAATTGTTATGCAAAAAAAGCAGCCTCATGGCAGTCTACAGCAGTTAAATATATATGCACTTATATATGCACAGTGAACAATATTAAGTGCCTACATATTTATGCATTACATTTGCAACAAGCAGAATGTTTATATATCCAAACTCTTCTAAATTGTTAGAAGTCTTAACGTTTGTTCTGCCAAGTCTCCTCGTGGTTTTTATTATTCTGTTATAGCAATATTAGCAAGTCCTTAGCATAACTAAGCTATTGAAAAAATAAATATATATATATGCAAGTAACTTAAAGAAAGATGCAAGCTATTTTCTGGGTCACATATACTATCCACTGAGAACCTTGACACTGAGCACTCTGCATAAATAGTGCAAATTAGTAAAAGCAGTTGCAAGGTTTCATATTTTGAACAGTTGCGGTGGTCCAGTTATGTTCTGGATGCTTAAACAAAACACAGATTTTAGGATTAGTAAACACAACTTCTGTCAAGACTGCAAAGAAACAGTTGTGCTAAATTTGACTGCAACTTTGATCTATCACAAACCACAGCTTAAGTTTCTGTATAAAATAACAAGAATTTGCCTCCACAATATGAGAATATCCACACAAAATTGTGGAAATTGATTATACACAGAAAGAGTGGTAGTGAAATCGGGGAAAAGACAACACACAAACTTTGCTATCAAATACACAAAGTGAACTTCCTTCTTTCAGTATCTTTAATTTAAAGTAACCTCTGATAATGTTTATTAATTTTTCTTAGTCACACTCGTGATCCCTCCCTCCCTCTCAAAACATACAAGTAGTCTTCTAGATGCGCATTTTAGAGACAAAAGTGACAAGACAAGCAAATTCACTCTAACAAATAGCTTTCATGTTTCAAGAACAGAAACAAGGCCAGTTCAAGTTGTTGACAGCAGCTGCCACCAAAAATCTATCCATGTTATTTTGATGTTTTGTCTGTTTTTCCATAGTTGCAAGGATTTGGAGATCCTCTACAGACAGGCACTGCCATAATACCTTGCTGTTGAATTCCACTTGCTCCTGTTTGAGACTCTCCCAGGGCACATGGCTGAACAACTGTATGACCATCACCAGTTCCCAGCTGAGCTCCTGCAGAGGCAGGAAAAAGACAAACGTAACAGAAGACAATTCCAGTTCTGGAATTTAAAATGTAGGGTTCCCCCCACTGATTTCACATGCCTGATGTGAAAAGTATAAGGACGTTTATACATTTAAGTATATAAGCATGCATTTTAAGGAGAAAAGAGTGCACATAATGTTAATTTTTTTTAAACTAAGCCCTTCCTGCCTTGTAAATCTCTGAACTTGAAAAATAAAAGCTCAAGCACTCAACTTTAAGGAGTCTAGACTTTAATTCATTGAGAGGAACTGTACTGGTTGAGAACAATTAAGTCCATCTTCCCCTGCAGTCTGCCTCTAACCTTGACTAAAGCCTAAGGAGAACATAAAACCAGAAAATTTCTGGTTCTACCATATCCTTTTACAATAAAGTGTCCAAGGGACATAGTACTCAAGATACTGATGCATCATGGATTTATGCAATATTAATACTTTAGTTATTTTTTTTTCTTTTTTATTAGTAACTAGTTAATGCTAGTCTTTGTATGTTTCAACAAGAATGTTAGCAGTGCAATTCACATCAAAACCCTACAACAAAGTCCATACTAAGTTCTTTCACTGTCCACCTTGTTGTTAACATCATAGTAGAATTAAATTCCAGAAAGCCATCTCACACTAGCATTAGAAAACTTAATAAACACTTCTGACCAGAAAATTCACAAATCACTACTTATTACAAATACCACGTTGTTAGTAGGCTTCTAGAAGAAAATCGCATTCAAATGCATTTGAAATCAAACTGCTTGGTACATGTTACTAAGTAATTTCCAGGGGGGAAAAAAAAAGTTAAAAATTCTTACCTATTTGAGATTTTTTTAAAAATTTCAAGACATTTATATACAAATACTACCAAAATTAAGTGAATAATTGTGACTTGCACTGAAAATTGTCTTGTGAAAACAGTTCCTATAATCCATAATGCCAAGGGCATTACAAAAGAAGTTTTTTGCTGTTCAGTTACAAAAATTCTATGTATTGAAAGAATTTGACTGACCTCCTGTACTACCACAACCAGAAATGCTTTCTCCTGGTGAATAGCCCATCAGGCCACCATTTCCATTTCCATTTGGATTAGAAGGCACTGTTGCAAGAAGACCTAAGCAACAAATAAAACACATAGTCATGAAGACAGACAGGAAACAAAAAAAAATTAAGTGCAGCCTGCTTCTTTCCTCATTATATTCATCATTCTTCACCCTCACCCTGAATGGTTTAGGCTTTATAACAGGAGAATATTTCTCTAGTTTTCCTACTTCTGGGATCTTGCCACGTCATTTTATTTCACAATTACTTAACAGGCATTTTCTACATAATATTTTGTACAACTTTTCATTCATTAGTGACATATATTCACTGTGGTATGTTCAAGTGCTACGCATCCTAATTCAATATCCAAGATCTGAACATCCTGACTGCTTACACCTTCCTGAGCAACAGTAGTGCATGTGGTTTACTTCTGAGTGAAGGGGACAGTCTTTCCCAACTGTTTGAGCAGCAGCATTTGCAAATGCAAGTACAGGATGAAGTTATATACCACACTGATTCTTCTAATCACTGGTATTAAAACCTATCTGTACCATAGAATGCACAGAACACCCCGTTCAAACAAAATCTTCCCAAAAACCCACAGAAAAAAAAAAATCCCAGGTAAGATTTGGAAAGAGGCACTCACTCATACTCTTTCTTCCCTTTCTTGGTTACCTCTAGTATTTTCATTTATCCAGATACACAAACCTTGTCACCATAGTGAGCTCACACCTGATTATCATTGCTATGGGACAAAATTATTCACTGCTTGAAGGTGAGAGAATTTTTCAAAGAAGTGAAGCCAACAGCCTATAACCATACCCAGTCCTCTGTATCGCGAAAGCTGCTGGTAGATTTGCTTCATCCTCTCGATATTCAGACGGCTTGCCTCTGCGTGATTTACCATTGGTTTGGGATAATTAACTCCTATAATACATTTTGCAGCCTTCTGTACGCTCTCGGGAGCATTCCAAGGGTCATAGATGTATTTTGCAGGGAAACCTCTAAGTACTGGCAAATAACGTCTTAAGGGAAAAAAAAAAAAGGTCATTTTGAGTATAAAGCTACTTGACAGTTTAAGCAACATTTATGAATCGATGCAGTTCCTGGATGGTGAGTTACCTGATATAATCCCCATTTGGATCAGTTCTTCTGCCAAAACCCACTGGACAGTAGCAGTGAAAAAACTGCTGGAAGAAGGAGCTACAGGATAGCCACATCCAGCTTCCAGCATTCACACTCCAATCCGCGTCAAGCAAGAGCTCTTCAAAGACCTTAACAAATTAGAGCCACGAGTTAGTCTGAACATGGCACACCTTCACGACACCTACTTTTCCAGAAATTGTTCTGAGTTTCTGATTTCACTCAGCGGAAGAAACCCAGCTCTTCAACAAAGCAACACTCCTCCTTACCTGCCAACATTCACAGAACACCCACTATGCAACTGCAAATCCTTACCTAAATGCCAAACTCAGGAACAAAGGCGTGACAGCTTTCCCCTGTAAAAAGCCTCACAGACATCTCAGACAGCTACAACCAGAAAGCTACACATTCTTGTGTAAACACATCCTTAAAATAAATCCCCAAAGGATGGCTGGAGCCTGACTGCTGGCAAGTGGCATTTGTTGCTTTTAGAAGAGTTGCTTCATCATGTTACAACTGAGTAATCTTTGCAAACTTCTAGGAAACAGGGAACGTACAAAACATTTCAGACTCAAATTGTTGCTCTGAATACCTCAATTTGCACAGCACCTTTCACTGTGCAAGGAGTCCCAAGAGTAGAATTCAAGAGCTTAAAGGTATCACAAACATTCAGACGTTGCATTTTTGAAGGCAAATTAGTCCAGTGAGTCACAGTTTTGAGGATGCACACCGAAATTCCTGGAGGCATATGAACCACCCAATGTGCCCAAGAATGGTGGGACAGATAATGAACTCTGGTTCAAGACAAAACGGTCTTCTCAGGTAATTGCTACCCCTATTATATTAAAAATAATCCATGAAGAAGTCCAAGGTTTTAGGGTTTTACTTTCAATCTGGAGCTCAACAGTTGTGAAACATTCAGGTTTCCAGCATTGAATTTTTTTTTTTTTTAAATTAACACAGACAATAATTAAGTGTATAAGAAGTTTTTCTACTCAGTCAGATCACTATCAATACAAGAAATCTAACAAGAAATAAGAGAAGCTTTGCTCTTTGAAAGCGAATGTTCAAGTGCCATTTTATAAAGAGAAGTAGTTTCAAAACAGATGGTTAATTTAAAAAACATACTTTTTAACATATTTTTGCAAGTTCTGATCTTTCTTTCAAGCTTGCATTGTCTCCAAATGTTCCAAAGAAACCATCACCCTCCTTCATATCAACACATTAAAACTCAACGGCTTACTACTGCCACCCAACTTCAACTAATATTATTCCAATGTAAAGCCTAAATAAGGTAATAGCATTAAACAAGGGTCTCTCTACATATACTCAATAAGGCATTTATTCTACAGAATACACTGAATAGGTGTTACAAAAGTATCTTTGTCAAATATCTGCAACTATTTAGAAAAAAAGTTTGTTCTGAAAAACTAAGATTTATCTTAAAATAAAAAAAAAATACTTTAAATGGAAAGTAACTAATAATTTAGCAAGATCTTTAGATGAACATTAAGTGTTAGCACACAACTGTTCCACTAGATGCTGCCATATAATAAGACTTTGGAAACTGCATCACTGTGGAAGGCCAGGTTAACTTTCACTAGCTACAGATGTAGGACATAAACATCCTTCTACTGCACAAGGCTGAGCCCTCCATATATCTGTATTATTTCAAAACTAAGAACAAGCTGGCATTTATCTGTGATATGCAGCTTTGTTGTTTGGCTGGGTTACCTATGTGTGTGCATCTTCCATGTCTTTACCTATGAAGTGCAAAAGGAAAATTCCTAAAGCAGCTTATGTTGTTGTGTAACCAAGACAATTTTTTTTTTTTTTAAATGAAAGGTGTCTGCTTACAACTCATTTGTTAGGAAAGGTGAAATTTTGGAAGATATATACATGAGGTCACAATCCTCATGGCAAATAAAATTCTTTTTTAGATTTTAAAAAATAATCTTTTTAATTTATTATAATTTATCAGTAAAAGATGTATTACTCTTCTAAAAATATAAAATTGATTCCAAGGATGAGATTAAATTATTCCTTTATTTTCTTAAAAAAGACCAACATTTGTAATCTGAACTTTGGCACCTCTTGGATATTTGCATAGAAACTAATTGCACGGAAACCAGCCATATCATGTTGCCAACACACACTTCTAACATAGGGCAAAGGGACAGAAATTGCTGAAAGAACATTCTCAGCTTTTAGTTTTCTCCCTTTAATTGCTGTGGTGCTTTCCCTTCACAAGGAATCGGGCATCAGATGTGAACAGAAACTGCTCATATGCAGTATGACTGAAAAGAAGTTTCAATTATAAGAATAATTCATGTTTATTTGCCAAGATTTGGGAAGAAGTCTCAAATTTAGATGAATTGCAGACCTATTCCGACTACAAGAAACACCCTAATATTCCAGTAAAAGAAGACAAAACTTGAGCACCAGTGGTTTATCAGAACCGATTTAATTTTAGCCACAGCTTATTTAAAATTTAACTTGCACCACACCGTAACAATTCTAGAATGACTGTCCGAAATTTTGCAGGCACTTTAAGAATTCCAAGAATAAGAAACAATACCTTCATTCCCTCTTCCCAGCTAATCCAGAGGTCCCCTCGTGTCAAAAAGCATGCTACAGCATGCCGGGCTAGATGGTGAATCCAACCTTCTTGACGAAGCTGCGTCATAATCGCATCGATCCAAGGAAAACCTGTCCTGCCTTCTGCCCATTTGGCCAAAGCCTCAGGATTCTTATCCCATGGAATTTGAACACAGATAGGATTCCCCTCCATTTTATCAAACCGTGGATTGTTAGTCGCCGCTGTGTAGAAAAATTCACGCCATAACAGCTGCCCGTAGAGGGAGAGGGGAGGGGAACTGTTCTTTTTTACCTGAAGAGCATCATTAAAGGAAAACATTTTATTAGAAGTAGTAAGAAAAAATCACAGCATCGAAGAATGTGTAGATGACTTCGTAGAAACAATACCTTTTTGTACAGATCCGTTAACTTGAAATAAAAGAGACGACAGGACAAACAGCCAAAGCGGAGGTAGGGACTAAGCCCTGTAGGGCTTGCCAGAAGTGAGTTTGCATTCATTCGTGGTCTTTCAAAGTTTGCTACCCAAGCCTTAAAAAAACAAAGAAACAAACAAACAAACAAAAACACATAGCAATATCAGTCTACAGGCTAGGCATCAACTTGTAAACATAAAAGGAGAAATCATGAACTACCTGGAACTGAATCCAGACACTGGGCAGATGATCACATTACTGATGATACCTAGGGGTTCCTCTTGAATCAACCAACTCTCTAGAAGGCACTGTCTCTCAATGCAGAAGAAGTGAACTACCTTCCAGAATTACCTATCATTTTCTTTTAAATACAGAGGAAACCTATATAACTAACAGTAGTCAGCTTTTAGATGAATCCCCCTTCAAAGCTGTAAGAAATACGTTTTGAGTAATTTTATCCCCAAATAAAAACTCCTTACATTTTTCCGAGTAGAAAATAGTATAACAGGCTTTCCCATCATCTTTCAAAACTAAGAAACAGCAACTTTACTTATATCATTAAATTGAGGCCTTGAGTTCAAGTCTGTGCTTTTGATTTTTTTTTTTTTAAACAACTTGTACCGTTTCTTTTATGCTTCATTGCAAAGAACAACTGTGTGTCCCAGATCACTCATACGTACGACGATTTCAAACGCACCTTTCGTTCTAAATGCCTTTCCAGTCGTGTGAGAGCTTCTGTTTCTCCCCCTGGCCATACTGCAGAAGGCAGACCATCTGTGTCAAAACCTGAAAAACAAATGGAAAAAAGGAAACTCCTTGTTTGCTTACACTGTAGGGCAACAAAATCCTAGCATGTTGATACTTGACTGCATTTTATTGTATCTTGAGAATAACTCTAAGTTGGACACATGGCAAAGTAGAAGTTTTAAAAAGGTATGCAACCAAATCTTACCAAAGCACATCACTACCTCTAACTTGCAGCAAAATCCAATTTTTACCTTCACATTTTACATTAATTTGCAAGTTTTACATGATGAATAAGCTCACTTCAAATCCACTTATTTTTTTGCACAGTGACCTCTCTCATCTTTCAAATTATTTTCAAGTTCTCAGCTCTGCAATATGTGGGCTATCCCAAAAGCACAAGTTTTTAAAAAAACAAAACAAAAAAGAAAAAAACCACACCACAATCAAAAACCAAAACAAGACTAAGAAGTAACAATTGCTACTTTAATTTACAGAATGTCTAAAAACTTCTTCTATCAGTTAAAAGCATGAGTGCTGTCTTCAGAACATTCCAGGGTTTCATTGACAATAATCCCTGTCTGTTACCTAAGTCAATTTGATAACACAAACATACTTGAGCTGCAAAAGAAAGACGAAAAGAAAGTAACAAGATTTCTTCTGCACCCCTAAACCTCCCTCAAGATTGTTCACCAGGTGCATGAGATAACGTCTGCCTATAGTTTAATGTAGCGTGAGATGATCTCTTCTTAAAAATGCTTTGAGGGTAAAGTCTGTTGTATGAGAGTTCAAACGGACCAGAAAGAACAGCCAGAGCTCAGCCAGAATCTGCCCAGACCATTTTCTTAGCAAACTAGAGGCCATACCACATTACCTTGTATTTCAGGGCAGGAAGGGGAACAGGAAAGAGATGGGGAGATTAACAAGACAGTAGATTGATACTATTTCTTAAATTTACAGAAAATTATTTTAGAGGCTTCTTGGGGGAAAAAAAACCAAACTCTTATTTGCCTTAATATCTTTTTTTTTTTTTTTTTAATTAATTTGCAAAATGACAGATTAATGACCTGAAGCACAAAGATACCAAACACATTTAATACAAAATGAAGCATGAAAGACTATCAGTAGCTTAACGATTATTTGGTACCATGGGCAGACGGCTACACTGTATCACAAGAAGCCAAACGGTACTTAGTGTAGTTCTATCTGACTTCCCACTTAAAAGAATAATCAGAACTGTGAATCTTTTTCCTTTTGTATGTTGCAATTGGCATTGGTTTAACAATTAACCCTAAGCAGAACCTCGCTCATGATTATTTTTAAGTATTATGCTTTTAGCAGAAGACACCTCACTTGTTTCACAATGTCCAAGCAAGCTTAGAACATACCCAGCTCTTCAAGTGAGGGGACACCGTATTTCTCATCATGGTCTTCAGAAACCGGAGTCACACATTTTTCCATTACTTCTGGGGTTATAGTCTCCACTGGCATCTCCAGTGGTTCCATTCTGCTAATTAGGGTTTGGAACCGCTTGTAAGTAAGAGGAGGCTGTCCTCCATTTAATTCTATTATTCTGGATTAAAAAGAAAAATAGCATATCAGATAATAGTACATAACTTTAATATAAAAAAATATACACACCTACATACAGAGAAGTAACTTCTCTGCCTCTAACTCATTATATAAAACCACTGATATACATCCAGACAGTTTGAACTTGAATTTCATCATCCTTTTTTCCTCATTAGGGAGACATATAAATTAACTGTACATAACCAAGTCAATTATTCTTATTTCCTGGGTTGAGAAAAGTCCTTAAAGAATGAGAAAGTAACTAATATGGACAGCTCAAGGCAAATTAAAACAAATCAGCAAAGCAGAGGAGAGATCATAGCTACATAAAGATACATCCAAGTTGCCTACAAGACTATGTGAATTTCATTTTAAAATAAAACTATTTTTTCTATTCTGGTATTGAGAACAGTAGTCAATATTTCAACTGTATCAATATGGGGAAAATTTAAGGTGTAGTTTATACACATGCCTTGTAAAAACACTGTTTTCCGTGTTCTGCATTGTCACCTTAAATATACTGAAAATCTTAGAAATAAGAAAACTTCACAGAAATAATTTATAAAGTGGTAGATGGAACCAACTTTTCATTTGGGGGTGGTGCTTGGGCAGAGACAAAAGAAAAGGAATTTTCAATTTAGGATTAAAAAAGATCAGGTATTTGTTTCAGAACTGTAAATAACTCCTTTTCCTCCTATACGTCTTTCTGCGTCTCATACATTACCTTGTAACATAAAAAACCAAGCAGCTACCACAATAAATTAATGTTAAGATGAAGCCAAGTCATACTATTGAATATTTTACCACTTATGTTTCTATAATAAGTAGCCAATACTAATCTATTTCAATATATCTGTGGAGAAATGTAAAAAAGGACATTAGATAAGGCAGTGCCAGGATATCAAACAGTTCCCAGTTACTTCTTGGATGCATAACCTATAGGCAACTGTTCTTGAAAAATACAGGACTTTCTGCTTACTTGTGTACAGCAAGCGAAAGGACAATATAATAAACAACAACAGATCTTTGGGAGAAGTTTGAATAACTTCATTATAAAAGACAGATAATTAACACGACCATTACTTTCAAGAGAACTCTACATTGAAACTGTATTTCAGACACATCATTTTTTGGATTTGCAAAGTTCGCTCAGTGTGTGATAAAATCTGAATGGATGGATAAAAGAGAACCATAACAATGAATTGTAGAATTCCTAACTATAAAGTGCTCTGTATAACAAGCAGCACATCATCTAATCAAATGCTACATAAAATTCATACTACTTTTTCCGTTTTAAAATCAGCGGTAATGGTTACTTACTTGTCTAGGTCATATAATGTATGGGAAATTCGAACGATGACCTCTACTCCAGCCTCACTAGCCAGCTTCTTGATTGCTGCATCTCTTTCTTTCCCAAATGGTTCAGAATCATATTCAATAGAAAGCTTTGCAATATTCCACTCCTGCAACACAGAACAAAAATGTGGTCCTTCACCAACTCAGCTGCTTGATGGAGCATAAGGGAAAGGAGAACAGGAAGGACAGGAACAAGATGGAACACCAGCTATTACCTGCAGATAGTTGTGAGAGGTACACAAAGGCCCAAAGTACATTTAGACACCAAGACTCACAGAAGTCAAGTCCAACATTCTGGCATTTAAGCAGTAATCAGGCATAACAAAGCCTCTTTCTGTCCCGTTACTGTGGGTGCACACAGTAATGGGACAACTTCCGTGCAAATTTTGAAAACCAACTTTAGGAGCCATATACTTTAAAAGACAAGAAAAGTAGAAGATGACAGAGGCTGTCTTCTGGACATTGATCAGCAGCAGTATCTTGCTCTGAAGAAAAGCCTTTCACAAGTACCCGTCCACTTTAAAAGCAGGACTGAGGTTTTGAGGCAGGGAAGGGAAGGGGGATAGGGACAGTTGCAAAATAACACGCTCCTCCTTCAACGCAAACACCACATACCTTCCTTCCCTTTTCCAAATCCCTACTCTTCACCCACCAGAACAGACTATCTTCAAATTCTCAATTTAAAAAAAAAAAATAAAAAAAATTGTCTCCTAAAAAGAAGACACCTTCAAGTCTAATATCGTTTATGTCACAGATGTTGTTACCAAGGTCAACGGGTGGGGGAAAAGAAGCAAAGAAAGGAATGAACTTGTGGCTGAGACTTCTGCAAGAGTGGGAAATTGGAAAGGGGAAGTATGCACACAATGATCCTAGAAAGCCATCCTGCCAATCACACTCGGAGAAATACCTTCCTAATCCCTCAGAATCTTAATCAGTTGGTTTAAATACACCAGCCAGACTATTTTAGAGAACTGGATTTACACCAAAGAGACAAGGGGGACTCTACACTGTTCACCTAGGGTGTTGTTTCACTTCTGAACTCTAGCCCTCTCCTAGGGGAAGTCCAGGAACAACTCTAAGGATAGGCGATGCCAAGGAACGCTTGCTCTTCAAAAAAAGACTTGGCTCCTTCCATCATTAAGTCTGCCAAGGCTGACCCAGCAGGCCCAGAATCCTCAAGCAACCTACACCCTCATACAACACTTATTTCCCATTTCATAATGTAAAGCCACTGTCTGACAAGTTGCAGCAGAAGTTTTTTTAAATCTTTCTTTCCAGTGGCATATTGAAAAGAAAACCATAAAAACGGATCCAAGAGCTAGAGCCACATCCCCAAGGGAGCCAAGGAACCCTGAGACAGACGCTGTGTGATGTGAATACACCCACATCACATCAGCATGAGCTGGGCACTTGGAAGAAACAGAGACACAAATCGCTTTGCACATACTTCTGGATGCTTTCAGCAACATTGATGCATTTAAAGACAGATATTTTTCCAATTCCTGTTCAAATTCTATTTTCTTTATCGAGCCAGTCCCAAAGAGCTGAAGATACAGAGCAGACCAGGACAAATTGAAGAGAATGAGGCAAGGACCAGCCAAAACTTAACTGGTTCAAGTTAACCAACAGGCACTAAATGGGTGTGTGCTACTAGTGGAAGCTGCATCTCTGCAGTCAGATAAAACCACTATTCTCCAATTACTTAAGCAAAACAAAACCCCCACACAAAACCAGTAACACCACCACCAAACAAACAAAACCCCCCAACTGCCAAAGGAAAACAAAACAAAACAAAAAAGTTAAAAACCCTAAAATAATTTTGCAAATATCTGCAAAGCCCAGTGGTAAAAATATTCTGTCCCTATGCACTACTCCAGAGGATGACAGCTTACTGCTGCTATCAGCAGCACTGTTAGCTAGTACTGCTGCAAACATGGAACACTGAATTCAGTGTCTTAAGGGAAGCAAAGCTGCTCTGAAGGACTGGAAACAGGAAAACAGAGACATATATACACACGCACACATATACAGACACGCACCAATGAAAGAGCCTGAAGGTCCTCAAGGCCTTTTGCAAGGATAAAGACAGATCAGTGCTTTGCCATTTGAAGGAACTGTCTTTTAGCCTGTGAAAAGGATAAGCCCTACCAAGAAACAGCTCTGAAAGACTCATTCCCCATGAAATCCATAGATGCTGGCATCTGTGATAGGGCTCCTGATACACGGCTCTATAGAGTTTCCAATATCTCCTACCATTATTTACTTTAAATTATCTTCTCCCAGCCAAAAAAATATGTTCTTCAGGGTCAAGACCTTGCTCACCTTTGAAATACTTCATGAGGATGATCTGAAAAGCTTGGTTCAGTGTTATGTGCCCTTCACTGTACTGTAAATGCCTGATGTACAGCTACTGCTCTGACAAAAGAGGCTGTGAGATTAATGATAGGAGATAGATGCATATTCCAGGTAGTCTTCAGACAAAAGTTGAAGAACCCTCAAGAGCTTCAACAATGCTTCTTTTATATGTTCAAGGATAGAGGCTGTCTAGAAAAGCCCCTCAGTGAACAAAAACATGATAAAGACACTTCTAATTAGTTCGAGGAACCAGAAGACAGATGTTAATGTTCTTTTTTTGACTGATGTACACTATCTATATTATAAATTATTTTCATTAACTTCTCAGGACTAAAATTAATATTCTGAAAGTGTGGCACCCAGAGCTGTTAGGCATAGAAAGATCAGCCTAGTAGCAAGATCTGAAACAAGAGTTGTCAAAGTAGCCATTAAGGTATTCATGAAAACTTGTCACAGGTCACTTAAATCCAGAAGGCAACATACACAACAGCAAGATCTTCATCCCTACTTAAATGCAATCAAACCAAACTTGGCAGGCAGATACAACAAGCTTGAGTATCTGGGGGGTTGCAAGCAGCAACTAATGCCACAGTACTCCTGCAGGAAATTCTTCACAGAGGTGAAGTCAAAAAAAGATCGGTCACAGTATCATCCAATTAGCTTTTCGTAACTAAAGGACAAAAATAAAGATGAGAATGAGTTTTGGTTGAGTTTTCAGCTTGGTATTGAAGACTTGAGGATAAGAACAGATGATCTCTTTAGAAAAATAGATATTTATCCCTCACCCCATCTCATTTGTCTCAATCACCTCAATCCAGTCATTCTATAAAAACTTTTAAAATCAATCTGCAAAGTGTTCACTTTTACTATCCTATTATAGTAAATTACCTTAAAAACTCTTCCATAGAAGACAAATTAACAGTAACAATCCTTCATAGCTCTAATTTACTTAATAAAGCCCTCCCCCACAAAAGCCTTAAACTTCTTTGACCAGTAATTGCTTTTTACCTGCACTATGCTTTTACCTAGACTACTGGCAAAAAGCTTAGTAAACCACTTTTAACGGGCAGAAAGCAACCACAGCAGATATTTAGCTTAAATAAAACATTGTTTTTACAGGTTGGGCTTTGAACCTGAATTCATAGACACAGAATTGTATTTCAGTATTTCAAAGGGAACCTGGAAAGGAAAATTTAGTAATATACTGTACCTACACTTAGCAAATCATTAGAATGCAGTTCCATTTCTGGAAGGAAGGAAACCAAAAACTGTAAAGTCTAAGAGCAACTCAGCTCAGTTGGTGATATGCACATGAGAGAGGAAACACTCAAATTTAACAGAAACAAGCTTAAAGAGAAATTGCAAGGACAGTTAAGTATGTGCATGGATAACAACCTGCACTGAAGCATACAGTACAAGAAATATTCCTAGTTGAAATTAGCTTGTCAGTCAAATTTATGGATAGAAATGGCAACTGCAAGGTGGCATTTACCTTAAAAAGTCTGGGGAAAACATCTGCTGGCTGTCCACGAATAACAAATAAACGTGAATTCAGTTTCCGTAGATTGGCATCAAGGTCCTCAAGACATTGAAGCAGGAATCTGCAAGGAATTATGAAGAAACATGTTTTTTTGAGGCAAACCAGACAATTTTACAACAGATAAAGGAACTAAAATAACAATGCAAAGATTCTCAGATGTTCAGTATTTGGTGCATATTTTGGTGGTGTGTAGGTGTCCACATCCTAATTACACTTAGCTTACAATTGTTCAATACTATGTAATATATTCAACAACATGTAACCACTTTCATTTAAGTTTTCATCTCAAAAATATTCAACCCTGGAACAGACTAAAACATACCCAAGTCTTAAGTAAAACTAGAAGTATCTTGTCACTCTAAAGAAAAAAGCACACCACAGAAAAACAATAAACTAAAAATCAACAAAAATATAATCAGCTGTTGGCATACTGCTACTAAACTTATATCCAAGTCCTTCTTACAAGACAGGAGCCTCAACTGTTAGTAAAAACAGCATAACAGAGGATTCAATGGTCATAACTATCCTGTTGGCCTTCGTTTATATATTTATACAATGAAGAGTTTAATGCAGCTTCACCGTAACCTCACTTGAATTACTTTGAGGCAACCAGCAAACAAGGGAAAAAAAAGGGGGAGTGAAGGAATAAGTTGCTGAAAATCTGAAAGTCTCCAAGAGAAACAGGTAGTTGCATAAGGATTTTGAGGTAGATGCACATGCACCTATTTATTAATGAGCACAGTAACTAAAAATAAACCAAATTCTGAAAGTTATTTGGGGAAAGACATAAAAACAAAAGTGAGGAGAGGAAAATTCTCCCTTGTAGCCAGCCAGGAAGAGAGAGATACTGGGGGTCCTCAGACGAGTGCCCTTCCTCTGGAGTCCTCTCCAGCGTAAGAAGTGGTTCTTCCATGCTGTTTCCTTATAGTAACGATACAGTTTTCACCAGGAGTTGTTCAAACCCCACCAGCTGCTCTCTCTTACAATGCCATTGGCACTCACCAAAGTGCATGCTGATCAGGGCAGATCTTGCCACTCATCAGCCTCTGTGCACACACATTATTGGATCCCCTGCCCCAAACCAAAAGCTACACCCAAAGGGGGAAACAAAAAAAGAGAAGACTCCCACACTGCAGGCCACTGCTCCTGACTTAGCCTGCAGTAACAACACTATGTGTAGGTGCAAGGCCACGAGGATAACACCACACAAGCCACCACCAGAGAACAAGGCTGGGCTTGAAGACTGCCCCAGAGGCCTGGAGACACTGCATCCCCAAACTGGGTGGAACAGTGCAGAGCTACCAGGGAAGGGCAGGCCGCACCACTGCAAGTGCCTACAGCATTACCAAGGCAAAGGCACTGAGCAACCAGGTTTACTGAAATCAGAAATTCAAACACTTAGGGTTTTAAGAATGAATGCTAGAAAAAAAAAAAAAAAAAAATCAGTTACAATGAAAATGCTGTGCCTTCTAGGAGGGATACAGGATACATGACTGTTCTAAAATCTACCAACATTTCCTAGAGATTTAGCAATACATGTGATGCCTACCCAACACATTGCCTCCAACTTTATATGGAGAAAAAAAAAAAAAAAAAAAGTAAAAATTAATACACAGAATGCTGTCAAGAAAAACCCAGACTGCTATTAAGTGTCAAAAATGTGTGGCTCTTCTTGGCCTGAAAGGGTAACAGAAACCAAGTCCATGAGGAAGCCAGTGTACAAGAATTCAACTGCTTGTAAGCTGGCACCTACACTTATATCTGTAATGACTGGAACAAGTCAACAATGTCTCATTCTCTCATTTTGCTAAATTTTATTTTGAAAAAAATCCAGACTAGTGAGATCATGAAGGATATGCTGTATCTAAGAAGAAAGTTCTGCATACTCCTTTAGTTAGAAACCACACAGGAGTAATTTTAAGAACCAGATAAGAACTGCATATGCTTCTATCAGAGAGAAGATGGGCCCCATGTTCCCAGGTCAAATGTCTCCTCCAGCTGGACTCTGAAAAGTACAGCTTCATTTTATCATTTTTTTGAAACCTAGAGTGACATACCCCAGCACCAGGCTTATCCATCTGAATTGGCTTTCAAAGAACACGTGCCTTTACTGAAGCTTTATAAATCACTACAAAGACAAACTGCAACGGTGTCCGGATGCCTTTGAAACTGTCCAGGAAAGGTTGTGGTTTGCTTTTTTTTTTGGTGGGGTTTTATTGTTGTGGTGTTTTTTTTGGTGTGGGTTTGTTTTTTAGCTTCATACCACAAACTATACGGAAAGGATATGAAGAGAAATTGGTGTTGCTCGTCACCACTGAAATGAAAACAAAACAAAACAACAAACTGTCTTTCAGGACATTGTTAGGTTTTCTTCCTATTTGCATCTCAGTTCCCTCTAATTTCTCAGTCTATCTTCTCCCTACCTGACCAACCATATAACTTCTAGTCTGGACTTCACACAAACTACTACTGAAGAAGATTACATGCATTGACCTAGTGTCCAATTCACATCCCAGATCCCTAAACTTGTCCTTAATACTGTTTAATCTCTTTTTTGTTGGTTCCCCAAATCCCCTCTATTATCTCTCTTAACTATCTCTTACCACACTCCTGCACTTCAATATCCATAAAACTATTTAATGTATTTAGCAAACATAATGGTGTAGACAAATTATCACATATATGTAGGAAGGGAGCAGTAGAGTGGCCAAGGGGGAGAGATATTCCCTGTACCTGAGCAAAAACAGAATACATGAAAAACAGCCAAGCCCCAGTTTGAGTTTCAAGACTGTCACTGGAAGCATATTGTTCAAACTTAATAGACCAGATGAAACCCTAGTGACCCTATGATATCTATAGAAACATCTACGCAAAAGAATACTGCTTTTGACTCTCAGAACGCAGAATCAGTTTAAAAGTGGTTACTCAGAATAAGCATCAAAGTTTTTAAGCTTATTTGAATCTTTCTGTTGGACAAAATGTGTTTTAACAAAATGTGATGGAAAAAATTACTCCTCTGTTCTGTTTTCACCAACTCGATTTACACTATACTACTTCTAAAGTAATTTTCTTAAGACATTAATAAAATTTATCAAAAAGAAAAGCCTTTACACAGATTTGCCTTGCTCAGTTAAAAATGATCTTTCTTAAATCATTGCATCTAGACACAACCACTACCAGGAAACTTACAGTTGAATCAACTACTTGTCATAACCAAAGTTTTCACCTCTTTTTCTCATGAGTTTCCTTAGCACTTGCAGAAGCAGCACAGCATCTTCACTATGGTTGAAGACATGCTAATTAACACCTAGTTTCAGGTAGATACAAACTATTTTGAATTTAAGGAAGGAAAATTCTTTCATACCTTCTGCATTTATATAACGTATTAACGTATGTCTGTGTGAAAAGGCCTACATGAAAGGAAATTTTCATGAAAGAAAAAGCACTCACTGCAGCAGAGGAACATGTAGGTGTTTTGCTCAGTGCAGACATGTACACCTAAGTAAGAACAGCATTCTAGCACAGGAAAGGGAAAATCATCTGAGCTTTTTCTCTGAAGAGATACACCAAAATGCTCACAAACATGTTCCTTTCACAGTGTAACACAAATGAAAATTAATTGTAAATTACATTGTGAACCAACAACAAATATTAAACCTCCATCTCATAAAAAGCAGTATCTTTTTGGTCTATGAACTCTTGAAGCAAAGTTTCTTCATAGTAGCTACAAAGTAAGAGCTACTAGGCTTGAACCCTGTTACACTTTACACCAAAGTGTGGCAATTAGGTGCTATTTAAACCTCTCCCTATGGTAACATTTCCTCTCAAGCTAACAGTCAATGGGAAAGTAGTTCCTTTTTCACTTTGAATGAACATAGAACTTAAACAGCAGCAAACTGTGTGAGGTACACGCATGACTGAGGTGACAGAGGGCAGCAGAAAAGGCTTACAGAGGGTAGATTTACAAGAGATGTATGGGAGGAATTCTTACTGTGAGAGGTGTCCAGAGAGGCTGTGGATGCCCCCCTCCCTGGAAGTGTTCAGGGCCAGGGTGGATGAGCCTTTGAGCAACCTGCTCTAGTGGAAGGTATCCCAGCCCACAGCAGGGGTTTTGGAACTAGATGATCTTTAAAGTTGCTTCCAACTCAAATTATTCTATGATTCTATGACTTACTGTAATACAGGGAAGATGCTGATGCAAAGCATACCTGTCTTCAAGCAGCATTCCTAGAGGGAATTACACACGTCTTGCTCAGGGTCATCTAATTGTGATACTCAGGATTTTCATGAAAGCTTCTAAAGACCACATTCTTTAGAAGACACGCACATAAAATTTTAGCTGTTTACTCAAAGAAACTCCACAATCTCCCTCCCTGTTACCTTGTATCATGGTAACATGGTTAGTTTGAGGTCTGAAATCAAAACTAAACGTTCTGCCTCCCTGCCTACATCTTAAGGGTGACTGACAGAAACTGGTTCACATAATACAGATCATTATTTCAGTCAAATGCTAGCTAAAATTAACTGGTACCATCAATGCAGAAATAAAAAGTTAAATAACTAATTGTTAACACAGATAATCATTAACAAAAGGAACAAAACTAAGCATTACATCAAGCCGCCTTTCTGGCTCTGCACTATCAACATGATTAAAGATCTCATCCAAGGAAGAAGTCAAAAGCAGTCTGTTAAAAAGGCAGCATTGTCATTTAAGAGGAGGCTTGCAAGGATACTTATAGACACGCTGTTTAAGGCTCCCATTAAGTCTTGTTTGGGCTTATTTTTAGAAGTACTGAACACCCAGAAAAGGTTATCATATAGAACCACCCTTGTTGGTATGGGATGAAGACAGTTACTGGGAATTGTGGGGACTTAAAATGCAATGGCTTCTCTTTCAGGTGTCATTCACACCTGAAACTGCTGGTGCTAAGCCATTAAGAATCAAGAAAGTTCAGTTTCAGATTATTTTCTGAACTGATCCAGGTTCTGTATTTAACCACTAGGCAAGGCAAGAGTGTTTGTTAGACTGCACAGCCAGTACCAGACAACAGAAAGCAATCT